GGGGGCTAACATCCCCTAACTGTTGCTGATGGTGGGGGAATGGGACACAGRATGTTAGCTGTGGGGTATAGGGGAGGAAGGTCCTTCTCCCTGCTTGTGCTAAAACCCTAAGACTTTCATATATGACAGAAACCCTCCACTGTGATCAAGCCAATCCAYTTCTCACTTCCTAGACAGCACCTTGCCCTTGGACCTTCTTTTCTCCTGGATGAAGCTTATGGTTTCCTGGCTACCAAAATTGCTTGTAACAACAGTGGCAGGGSCTAGGGACGTGATCCACAGAGTGTGGCTGGCAGATTTGTGTGGACTCTGGGATCCATGAAGAAGTCCTGAGTGAAAGCCTCCAGATCCTACATGACTAGATTTTTTTCTGGATGACAAGATTTTCTGCAGGGCTAGGGTTTTGGAAAGTTCAGCAAGGCTGAACTAACTCTTCTCATCAATATCTGAAAATGGATYATTTCCTCTCTGACAGTTTGAGCAATTCATTATGGTCACCGTGGCAGGTCCCTGGCCTGGACATGCTTGTTTGTTCACACTTTTTAAGAACCCCAGAGCAGTAGCAGACAACTGGAAAAGACAGAGAGAGTAATGAGGACTGTGGCACCAGCAGAACCTGCAGCCAAATGGCCAGGACTGTGGGAAATTTTAGGCAAGGAACACTGATCAGAAACTCTCCAGAATTCTCCAGATGAGCTCACTCAGGTAYAAATGTAGGCTTATTTTATGTGTTACATGCAATGCTATAGTTACAGGTAGTGCTGGTTAAGAAGGTGGGGGACAGGGGAAATGGGAAATTTTTGTTAGGGAAATAGGAAATTATATTTATCTTACCTTCTGTTTGGGCCACTTATTATTTATTTCATCTTGGTATCAAGTCATTACAAATAGTTGCCTAAAAATTATACTGTGCTTGGATCGATGACATTAATGAATAGCAAAAGCTATTCTTTCATGTGACATCTTCAATCAACTGGCAGTGGTTTTATGAGTTGGAGTTGTGCTGAGACTGGGTTGGGTTCAGTAAGCAACYGTGTTGCAATGGATTAGTAACGCCCAGAAGAAAGACCTGTGTCTGGAAGTTGTCAAATCTTTCTCCTGGAGGTGCCTCACAGGGTCAAGGAAGAACAGAATGAAAGAAGGCATGCCCTATAGTATTTTATATTCCCCATAATGTTTTATATTCCCTATAATGTATTTTCTTAAAGTTGTTGACATCTGAAATTTAGGTGCAAGACCTGAAATTTCTGTTTTTCTCAACTACTCACTCAGGAAGTTTAGTCTAAACAAAGGGTGGCAAATACACTCCATCTCACAAGACAATCCCAATCAGGTGTTGGTGACTATTTTGAGAGCCTATCCAGGCTCAGTGAGAAAGTAATGCAATTGATTAATGATGTCTGCCATGGGCAGTGGGCTTGAAATTGGAGCACAGAGACCATCCTTAACTGTTTCAACCTTTGAAATCAATTTATGTTTCTCACTCTGACTGCCATAGTGACAGAGTTACATTTGTTTTGCAAGGCAAACATTTACTGTGCCTGTTCTTTCACTGTCTCTAAATGTAGTTGTATATTTTGAGCTTAGKTCAGAATACTCTATTTGCACACATCTTAACAATGTATCTCTGTCTTTTTCTTTCTGGACAAGGGTTCCTTTTTCCTAGCAGGGTAACTAAGCTTTTTTAAAAAATCTGCTAAAAATGATGGATATTCCAGCTCTGATTTTAACTATTTCCTGTCTTCTATTGCTTTTGGTGTTGATTTGTTCTTTATTCTAGGGCTTTGAGATGTAATGTTAGTTACATATTTGATAACTTTCTATTCTTTTAATGGARGAGCTCAATGCAACAGACTTTCCACTTAGAACCACACTCATAGTGTCCCAGAGATTTTGATATATGGTGTGTTGCTATTCTCATTTTACCTCTAAGTATTTTTTAAAATTTCCTCACTGTTTCTTTTGCTAGTATTCAGGTATTAGAGTAGTTTCTATTTTTCACTTTATCATTGATTTCTAATTTTGTTCCATTGTAATCTGACAGAATGCAGGATTTACCTCTAATTTTTTTTTTTTTTTTGCAAAGTGTTGCTTTGGGGCCTCAGATATGGTCTGCTTTGGAGAAGGATCTATATGCTGCTAAGAAGAAAGTATATTAAGTTATTGATGGATGAAATATTCTATGTATGTCTGTTAAGTCTAAATTATTAATTGTATTTTTTAGTTCTGGACCTTTTTTATTTAGTTTTCATTTGGAGGATCTATCCAGTAATGAGAGAGCCATGTGAAAGTTACCCAGTATTATTGTGTTGTGGTCTATTTGATTCTTGAAAYTGAGAAGAGTTTGTTTGATRTATGTCAATGCTCAATTGTTTGAGGCACAAATACTTATGATTGTTTATGTCTTGTTGATATGTAATTCTGTTAAGCAGTTATGAAGTGAGATGGTATCAAACTCAAAAGTTTCTTCACAGCAAAGAAAACAATCAAGAATGTGAAGAGAGAATGGGAAAAAATCTTTGCCACCTGCACCTCAGATAGAACATTAATKTCCAGGATAAATAAAGAACTCAAAAAAATTCTGAACACCAAAATAAATAAACAAATAAATAGTCCAATTAATAAATGGGCAAAGGAACTGAACAGACACTTCACAGAAGAAGAAATACAGTCAACAAATATATGAAAAATGTTCAACATCTCTAGCAATTAAAGAAATGCAAATTAAAACTACACTGAGATTTCATCTCACTCCAGTCATAATTGCACAACAAAAAGTAACAATAAATGTTAGTGAGGATTTTGGGGGAAAGGCACATTCATATATTGCTGGTGAGACTGCAAACAGGTACAACCACTCTGGAAAGCAGTATGGAGATTCCYCAGAAAACTTTGAATGAAACCACCATTTGACTCAGTTATCCAACTCCTCAGCATACATATATAGTGAGAGACCACATCAATGTTTATAGTAGCTCAATGCACAATAGCTAAGCTATGGAACCAACCTAGGTGCCCTTCAACAAATGAGWAGATAAAGAAAATGTGGGATATATCCATAACAGAGTAGTATTCATAAAAAAGAATGACTTTTGCCAATAAATGGATAGATCTGGAGATTATAATGCTAAATGAATTAAGCCAATCCAAAAAAATCAAAGGCTGAATGTTCTCCTGATATGCAGATGCTAGCACACAATAAGAGTGCAGGGAGAGGAAAGAATAGAAGTTKATTGAATTAGACAAAGAGTAATGAAGGGAAGGGTGGGAGGATGGGAGTAGGAAAAACAGTAGAATGAATCAGACATAACTTTCGTATGTTCATATATAAATAAACCACCAGTGAAAGTCCACATCATGTACAACCACAAGAATAGAATCCTAACTAGAATAAGTAATACTCCATGTATAYAGAATATGTCAAAATAAACTCTACTGTCTATATCTAAAAAGAATAAGAAAATGTGATTATTGCTATAAAAATTATGGAGATCCCTATTTCCATCCACCAAATTTGACATTCTCAAACAAGTTGGTTCATGGATAACTTAAAGCCTACATATAGTCCACTGCCCCCCTCTACCACCCAGACAAGAATTCTGGTTCCAAATGAAAGCTCKTTATTATTTTCAAAATTCTTTCGTATATTTTAATCACTCGGGTTTGTTCATCTAAAACTTTTTCCAACCTGCATTCTCTTTCTTATGATGAAAAACTTCATGTTCTCATAGAAGTACAGGGTGAGGACACTTCCTAGTGTTGTGCATGTTCCACATTTGTACCCAAGAAAGCCATGAGGGAAAGTAAGTGATAAAATGTACACATACTGGGAAATAGTTCCTTTTGCAGATGTCAGCTGCATGTGTTGTYGTGACACACAGTATGATACTGCAARAGCCCTGGAATGGGCCTCGGATATCTAATACATGTTCATCCTGAGATATTCTGTCCTCAGCTCCACTGCCCAGCAAATGGACTATCAGCATCATCATTCTCACATTTATATGTTTGCTCAAAAACTTTTCTTGGTTTTTCATGTCCTGATGTATACTTATAAACTCTCRTTTTCAGTTTTCAAGTCAACTACAAGATATTCTATTAGCAGTGTGTTTTTTTAAAAAAAAATAAAAAGAAGCTATGGCATTTTTAGTCACCATGAGAAATGTATTTAATCTCTCTGAGCCTCAGTTTTCTTCTCTATTATGTGGGAATAAGAACAACAATAAAAATTTTGGTTTTATTTCGTGGTTTTATTGTAGAAAATGGGATTATGCATGTAACAGGCTTAGCTGTTGCTTGAGTAGATTATASTAAATACATTGTGGTAAATAGATAGTATGTTATTGCTAAAATCRATAATACAGGTAGTAACAAATTCCTAGATCTGTTACTTGATCATGGACTCATTACTAAATTTCTGTGAGTCTCAGTTTCCTTATTGGAGAAATGAGGTTATATCCTAAATCAAATGGCTTTTGGATGGATTGGATAGTACCCGCTAATGGAAGATGCTCCGTAAATGCCAATTGCTTCCCTGTGTTCCTTTGCCTGCCCAGGCTGTGTTTTTGATGGGCCACAGGTTCCACAAGCGAGCCTCCCCACGTGCTCTGCCATCTAATCAGATCAGTCTCAGACCTTCCTCTTTTTACAGATACCTTTTTCTCTTCTTTAGTGGTGATACCTACTTTCCATTCATCAAATTCACCTCATTCTTAAACATCCAATATAAATCCCATTTCCCCCATTGAAACCTCCACTGATTCCTCCATTCGCTCCTGACTTCTCGCTTCATTGAACAAGTATATTTCTTCCAGGGCTTTGTCCTACGGTTTAGCCATTCATTATATTCTGTCTTGTTCACTCCTGACATACCTTCTCTTCCATGCTTATATAACCCGGGAGATGGAAATTCAGTCCCACATTGTTTCATTTAGATATAAGAAAATCTCCCATGAGATAAAAGACAATTAAGTTCACCTCTACTGTTTTTTTTCTTCCAGTTTCTTTGCATGAACAAGGAATGGTTCAGATGACTGTGAAAGACTACATGAGGTAGGTAGCAGAATCAGAGTTCCTTCTCCCCACTATGTTACATTTGAATCTTTCCTAAATGAAGTAGAAGTGAGAAAATTTCTCAATAATACCATGGATCCTAGGCTCTCACGAAAGGTCACACTGGTTGAGTGCCTGGAACATGTTCACTAACCTTAGAGAAATAGAGATTCCTTAGATGTCATAAAGGAACAAACAAATTAAATCAGCAAATGCTGACTTGGGAGGCTATTTAATTAGAACCTGTGCATCAGTGACATTTTACTATAGTACAGCTGTTCATAAAGACCTGTTCATATGACAGTTGTATTCATACTTTCATCTGGCCAATGTTATTAATCATCATGATATTTACTGGATAATAATGCATACAATTTTCAAAGTTAGATTGAAAGCAATGAGAGTCTCTTGATACAAGGAGAGAGACTAGATCTCAAAGTGTGGTTCCCAGACCAGCAGCACCAGCAGCACCTGGGAACTTAATAGAAAAGCAAGTTGCTGAGCTCCCTCCCTGCTCAGACTTACTGCACTACAAACCCTTCAAGTAAGRTTCAGAAACAAAGATGTGTTTCTTCAAGTCTTCCAGATGATTCTTGGGCATACTCTAGTTTATAAAATGCTGGGTTAAACTTTGAGATCCCCTGAGTTTAGGAACTCTGCTTTCTGGGCTCYCATTCTTGCATTTTTGAGATAATTCCAACTAGCCAGAAACCATTGCTATATCCCTCTTACTTCTACAGTTCACACTTTGTTTTAGTCAGCTTTTTCACTGCTGTGACTAAAGGACTCAGCCAGAACAATTGTAGGGGAGGAAAAGTTTATTTGAGGGTTCATGGTTTCTCCATCTATAGACAGCCAGTTCCATTCCTCAGGGCTCCAGGTGAGGCAGGGTATCTTGGTGGAAGAGTGTGGTGGAGGGAAGTTGCTCACATGATGATCAGAGAGTAGAGGGCAAGAGAGGTCTCCACTCTCCAGATACAAAATATATACCCCATAGCCATGCCCTCAATGAACCACTTCCTCCAGCCACACCCACCTGCCTCCAGTTACCACTCAGTTAATCCCATGAGGGATMAATTCACTGATTAGATTAAGTCTATGACCCCATCTTTCTCGTCCAAAACATCTTGCATTGTCTCACACATGAGATTTTGGGGGATACCACATCTAAACCATAACACACTTTAAATGCCATTTTTCTTAATTTTTTCCCTCCCTTTAAGGACTGTTGTTTTTGTTTCTTGTGGAATCATAGAGTAATATAGGATCACAGGAAGCTCCCAGAAAACCCTCTATTTTCTCAAAAAGGAAGATGAGTGTTGGATTCAGTGACCAGCTCTGCTCCCTGCCCCCACCCCCACTTTATCAGAACAGTGACTAGACATGAATTCTTCTGGACTCAAGGCCAGAGTTGCTCCTGGGTGTCTCTGATGAACATTACAAAATAAGATGTGACCCATAAACGCAAAATGAAAAGTAACTTAAGCACCATTGCTAAAAACTGAGATGTATCAATAAATAAAAGGATATTTTTCTGCCACACCTCAAGAGTCAATAGTCTTTTAAAACTGGAGTTCATATTATCCAGAAACATGCTCTTTCTCAGTCTTCATGAAAAGAAGCAATTAAACAAGGAAGTGGCAAACCCCAGCTCTTCTTCCTAAATGTGGACAGAACAAAGACAAATTCAGCAGCCCAAGTAAGAGAACTTGATGTCCTTGGGAACACTGCCCTCTGCATTGGAGTCTTTGATAAAGTCTAATTGTATTGTCTATTGTGTTTGACGATTCTAGATGTGACCCATGGTAGAGCCGAGATTTATAAAASTGAACTACATAATAATAATGTTCCACTCTCCTTGAAAGYGCTTTCAAATGATTTGTAAAWGCAAACCTATTGCATAGAGTGACTMAYTTTTTTTTCTTTTCAGTAATAAAGGAGTTTGTTACTGTTGCATATGGATGGCCACAAGAACCCTGGGGACAGCACTTAGAGATTTTTCTCTGTGCAGTATGAAATTCTTTTCCATTATAGAATTAACATGGATTTGCTTCAGTGACTGTTCCCTGTGCCTATTTMAGCACATAATTTTAACTTCTTCCCCAAAGTTGGAACCTAACAAAGCTGTGTTCCTGAAAAGGTTCCCCAATGATTTRCCATCTGTCAAGAGTATGACACTCTGTCACCTTTATAATGAGCAGTAGCTGGGCACCTAACACTTAAATTCTCACACCTGCTATAACACAGTGCTCTGAAACGAGAATCAGCCCTGGGCTGCACACTTGGTCTCTTCAAAGTTGTGGCCATTGTGGGGTTGTTAGAAACTAAGAGAAATGCACATTTGATCTGGAAGGGAAAGATTGACAGTGACTTCCCAGGAACTACCTCAATCAACACATCTCATGTTGGCATTCCCCYCTTGGTTGTAGGTCTCTGCATCAGTTTTCTGAAACTCCCACYCTATCCAGAGGAACCAGTTTCAATTCTTGCCATTCTACCACAAGTGTACCACAAAGGTATGTGATTTCCACACATTTTTCCTCCAGAAATACATTCTGGGCAACAWCCAATTTTATAAAATTATAAATAAGGACTTGAGAAAAACTTGCTGAATGAATGGATGAGAGAATAAACAAAGGACTTCCAAATTCCAATTTGCAAGAACMATAGTTATATGGAAAACAGACTAAATATCTGTTAATGTAAAAAATGGCCAAATAAACCATTGGCCCATTCATTTTATGGAATTTCATGCAATGATTRAAAAAGTAGGCAGAGATATGCCCTGTATATACAGTTTATACCCTGTAGATCTGCACCTATTAGAAAGATCTTCAAGGCATATCTTTTAAGGGGAAAAAAGTAAGATGCAGAAAGATACATAGAGTGTGTTACTATTTATAAAACAAGCTAGTGAATCTGTGGAGCATTATATAGCTATATAGAATAATGTCCAGAAGAATATACATAGGTTTAGGAGGAAAAGGCTCAGAATTACTGGGGACAATGAGGAAAGTAAGAAAGATATTTGTGGTAATATTATAATTTTTAACATGTTAAGCATATTTTAAATATTTCTTGCAAAATTCAATAAAAAATTTAAAACAGTGATATTTTCATAATGATTTGCAAAGATTTTAAATGACAAACAATCAATAATTGTATTATTGGCCATGAGATTGTACTTTTGGATTGCAAGGACTATCTTTATTCATTTTTGTGCCATAGGTGCCTAGCATAGAGGCTAGAACATGACAGACACTCAATAAATATTTGCATACATGGGCTGAATAAAATTTTGTGCAATAAGGTCAATAGACTAATGGATTAAGTCTTCCCCCATATAATTKAGACTTCTTGCCAGATATTTTTTTTCTCCCTTGAACCTCCTTTTGTTCCTATGTCCATRTCATTGACAGATGGGCACTCCCAGTTCTTCCAAGTAATTTCTATGACTAAATGTACAAGCCAAGCCATTTCAGTTCCCATTGAAGGTTKCTGGACTACCTTTTCTTACTTAACTGAATCAAGAGGCAAAGCACTAAATATCTATGTTACTTGGAAAGTGAAAGTGTGTTGCCGGTGGTTTCATTAAGCAGGCCTGGCCATGAGACTAAAAGTTCATGACCATAAAATCATCTCAACTATTGCAAATAAGCTCATCAGTGTTGCATGTCAAGGTGAACACTAACATCAAACAAAAAGGCGGAAAAAAAAAAGAAGAAAGAAGAAGTAAAAAGAGAAAAAAGCAAATATGGTAAAACCTCATCAAAAGTTCTGATTCCCAGAATCCATGAGTTTTAAAAGTTCCAACTCAAAAGAAGCTCAACAACTGGGAAGTGAACTAGTATACATAAATACAAATTCCAGATAACGGATATTTATCATTTTCAGTGACAAAGCAGACTAGAACAATTTGATGCAAACATTTGTTTATCAACCAAGTCCAAAAAAAGAAGAGAGAYAGAACATGTGAATCCTACCTAGGGACTTAAAATCATTATTCATAAACATGAGCCCTGGGGTTCTGCATTTAATATCCTCAACAGATTTATGTAGCTGAGTATGCTCCACACTAACACTCTTTAAAAATATTCTTCTGCGAGTCTACTGTTGACTTTTTTTCCCCCATATTTTTCTCTTGCCATCAATTACCACTTCTTTGTGGTTGACWGTGCACTATCTCTGGCATCCATTCCACAATCTTCCTGCACTGTCTAATTTAACATTTGCTCTTGGGGAAATAAAAAAGCCAGATGGATGAACTCGTGATATTGTATGTAAAGTATARGCGAGCAGTCCCTCGGTGCAGAGGCTGACTGTCCTTTAAGTAAGTATATATGAACGCTAGTGAAGGCACCATCTGTCTGTTCAGGTTCCTCTTCCGCTCAGTTTCTGGAAGTTTGGGTGACTAGAAAAATGTGGCTTAGGCTTCAGTGAAGTGTTATGGATAAAGGGACTCATATATATGTTCATTTTTTTTTTAATCACAGCATTCCTGAATGGCTGGAATTTTGGGAAAAAGACCCAGTGGAGATTCTCTTAGATCTGGGGTTTGGTGCTGACGAGCCAGACATCTGCACACAAATCCCAGCCAGATTCCTTGGTTGTAGCTCAGCAGCCAGAGGGATCAACATCCGTGTTTTTCTTGAAGCTCAAAAGCAGCGGATGGACATTGAGAATCCTAACTTGTATGGTAAGTGACGACCTTGTGAGCACCTCAGCAATGGCAGTGAGTGGCCGGGTGGACCACAGTATTGAACGGACAGACTAGTAGGCTGTGTGTAGTGACATTCTGTTCTTTTCGCACAGTAGCTTAAAGCAGAAGAGATTTCTTTCTTGATCAGTCTACATGTCCACTGTGGGCTGGTGTGTATATTTGGAAGAAGGATCGATCTGCTCCAMATAGTCCTCATTTGAGGAATTGCTCCCCGCCCCCACCCCACATACCACCAATATGGAATGTCACTAGTAGCAATAACAGGAAAAGGGTAGAAATGGAAAGCCATAGTTAGCACTTAAATCCTCTGCCCATAACTACACGTATCAGGTCTTCTCAGATTCTATTGGCCAGAATATGTCATAGGCTTACATACCCCAAGGGGTAGGAAGATGTAATCCTGCCATATGCCCCTGGCAAGAGGAAAACTGGTAATACTGGTGAGCAGCTSTAATATATACCACAACCACATACCCAGGAAGCAGAGAAACCAAGGTCTGACCAGGCTTATCTGGGTCATCAGGTGACACCTTCTCATCTGGGAGGCTTAGACACACACCATTGGCAACCTGAGCTATAAGTGGTAGTTATTAATCTGTCATACCTGCAGATTTGTAGACTAGCTCTGCCTAATCTTTATAGCTATTGTACATTGTTCTGTTTCTGCTACTGGTCATTAGTGGAAGACTTTTCTTTAGGACATTCCTGAGGATGTTCTTGAGGTACACATACTGTGCTTGAATAATTTGGAGGGAGGATRTCTTATAGTTTATTTACTACAGGATTGATGTAATAAATCAAAGGTGTATTTTCAGTGTCCTAGAGGAGAAATGCAGCATTTTAAAAATCATTTGAATTTAGAACCCCCTCTTGGAGCAACAAAGAATATCTCCATGGAACAGAGTTTGAGTGACTCTAGATGGGGAAAACGGCAAAGTTCTGTTTCTGAAATAAATTATTTTAAATAAATAAATTCACTGAAAGGAATGTCAAAGGGAGCTGAAGTGTGATTTTTTTTCATCAAATAATTATCTGAAATCAGGACTTCATGTGGATTTCTTATTTTAGTTTCCACTTCTCTATTTCTATGTAGATGAAATGGGTTTTAAAATTGAAGCAATGGGGTTTTTGAAAGGGAGTATATCAAYCTGAACATGTTGTGATGTGAATTTTCTTTATTTTTTTAGAAGCAATTAATATTGTTCTTTGTTGTCTTCTCTTCTGAGTCCCACAGAGATGTAAGCTTCTTGATCAATTCTTTATTTGGGAAAAATAAGGACATTTACAAACTCTTGAGCAGTGTTTGAACTGATCTGTGAAGGAAACACTTTCCAAATGAAATCGACATGGATTTTAGAGGAACTAGGAGTTTTCCCATAATCCTGTAATGGCTGCCCTCTTATTTCTGCTACTTAACAATACACTTTTGATTCAAGGCTGCTGAGAAGGTCAAATGTAAAACTAGCAATAACAAAATTAGTTGGCTGTTAGAAAGATAGATTGGAGATGTATGTCTCATTCAAAGTCAGTAGAAAAAAAAATTCAAACATGAGGGTGAGAATCAATTCGTCCATTGTTCAGTCTACCCAAAGGCAAAAATAAAAGAAGACACTCATCCAACTCTTCAGACTATTGTGYTCTCTGAATTGACTGAACCAATTAATTTGATAGGCTTTGTCTAAGTATAAAAACCTGCTATGGGGTAGATGGGAGACAATCATAAAAGCTGAATTATGCTTCAATCTTACCCTCTGGCTCACAAAAGAGRTTTGGTTTCAACTAAAGCTTAACTTGGGGGGAGGAATTTAATCAGAATTATTCTGAAACATCCCAAACCCAAATTCCTGTAGGTGTTAAAAGAATAACACAGTCCTCTATGGGAAATCCCTCATAATTTTTTGGAGGATGATGAGTTAATATCTTTTCCTTTCCAGTGAAAGAAGCAGGTAAGTGTAAAGATGTGCCCAGGGAAGAGTCACCAGCATTGCTGTGATGGTGGGAAAAAAAAAAAAAAAACGTGCAGAGGACAGCACCTTCCCCTCCCATGTGGTCCTTGGCCCTCGCTGGGCTATGCAACCCTGCATGCTGTCACCGAGTTTTAAAAAAAGGGCTGTGAAATAGATTGAGTGTTTTGTTTCCATTACTGTGGCTTCATTATCTTCAGATACCAAAAATACTTTTTCAAACTGGCAAAGTATCCTCAAATGAACCCTTAGTACATTAGGCCTCACCCTCTGCTAAGTCAACACTTGCATATATTACCTGAATACTGAAGCCAGATCATCCATAAAGACTTACAAGATGAGCGGGTTTGTTTTGAAAGACAAATGCATTTTTGCATTCATGACTTCTTTCTCTTGAAAGACTGAGTAAAATACATTTCCTTCCTGTCTTGCACATTGAAATCATTTAACGGCTGATACTTTCATAGCAGCATGTTTTACAACTTTTTTTGATGCTCACAGCAAATATGACACATATATAAAACAGTCATGATTCCAAGATTAAAAAAAAGAGAAAAAAACTGACCATTTACTATGTCTGGCATAGAGATTAACACTAACTATTCATTCATGTAGTCAGGGTTGAAGTTCCAGCAATGATTCACCTGAGATTTGGATCCAGGCCTTCTGGCTCCATATGCCAGCCAATCCACACTCTCTAGTTCTGGAGATGATGGAGGTGATGGAGGTCATGATGAGATATTGACCCCATGAAGCTGTGAGAAGAATACTCAGGCTGCTTCATGTTAAAAGAGCCAGGTTCATTCTTTTACAGTTAATTTAATACATATAGGTGTATAGACTCATACATGTCCATAGTTTTTAATAAATTAACACCTAAAAATGAGGACATATAATCCATATAGCTATGTATATTCAGCTACATTTAAGAGGTGTTGACTTTCTCCATAGCACAAGGATTTCTCATTACACTGGAGAATCATCTCCATACGAGCAAAGATATGTGTAAAAATTTACTTTCAAGAGTTCAAAGTCCTCCCCGTCTTGAAAATCACATGGCAACCAACTTTTCCATTTTGACAACACCATCCACCGCATCAGTGCAGTTTTGCTGAGAAAACTCAGTGTAAAACGTTTGYGTTCCTTGTATTCTTCAGGTCGTTTCCGGCAGCTGGAAATCCTGGACCACGTAACCAATGCCTTCTCATCTCTACTGAATGATGTCAACCTCCCACAGAGCCCYGCAGAGGAGAAAGCCGGAGGAGACAGGATTCGAAGAAGGGCAGCGAGTGGGGCTAAAGAGCCTCAAAGAAGAACAAGAAAGATTTTACRGAGAGCCTCGAGATGGCATATCCAGAGGGACTGTGACCCAGAAGCATCTGAATCTTTCAAGATGAAAGAYAGAATTTTTATCCCTTCTGCCAAACCTTGTGAGCGTGGGACAGAGTTACCAGCAGCCTCAATCAGCCACAACCAAAGCCATGTGTCTCCTTTGGCGGAGCATTGGTCTGCGCAAGCCTGTGATGACTTGACACCTTGTCACCCTCCCCGAGATCTTCTGGGCAAGCAGTGGCCTCGCTCACCCATGCTGGCCAAGCAGGCTTCTCTTTCCCACGTGCCTGAGGGATCAGTCAGGGACAGAGCTCGGAAGGAGAATTTGATCCACATTAACAAGCTCAGGAACATGCCTCATCTTGTGGGTAAAGGACCAGACTCCTTTGAAATGGAAGAGGTCAGTGTTGTACCTACGTGCTCAGCATCCTAAGGGGTATAACCTGCCTTCCAACTCTCACTTAACTATCTTTCATCCTGTCAATGGTTATTATTCCTAATTCAGTTTGGTCTAAGACATTTAAAGCTATTCTACTTGCTTGAGTCAGAAATAATCTAGTATGAAATGAACTTTCTTCACTTCCTTTTCTTTGTCTGGCCCACAGATTAATCCATGAGTTGCTTGTGCTCACTGTTTTATGATGCATCTCAGTGTGCTTTGTATGATCAGTATGCTAACTTCACGTTTCACCTTTAAGGGTCACATCATCTACTGCCCTTTCAGTGAAACCTGCCCTGAMAATTCCCCCGCCGTGTTCTCACAGCTTGTTTTGTAAGAAAATTGCACATGAGTCAGTGGCCCCTCCAGGTCTCACCTCTCAGCAGCTTGGAGACCAGGGACTGTGTCTTGGAAATGTTTCCTCTGCCATGCCTACTACAGTGCCAGGGGCAAAGCAGTAGAATCCAGTGGGTTTTGATGTTAGGGGGTTAGTTTTATTTTCTCTGGGGTTTGTTGGTATTCATATGTCTTGACCTTTTTCGCACGTACTCTCTGCTCCTTCATGTCACCTACAGTCACACTAATTTTCACTCTCATTTAGATCTCTACCAGTACTTCTTAGTCCCCCAACCCCAAAATACATACATCTTTCCACTCTCTTCTATTCATATAATCCCCAGGTGGGGTCACCTCTCCATTGAGCCTTCTATGTGCCAGCCACAGACAGAACAGCCCAGAACTGGTAATAGAATCTGCTTTGAAGGGAGCTCCAGAGAAGTGTTAGAAAATCATAACRTGGGACAGTGGCAGGTCTGCAAACATACTTTTAAGGCAATCTATAGACTTGTTTTGGTGTATCCAGGCAGCAATTAAAAGGATTCTTAACCAGCCAGGGGGGTCTAAGAGGATCATGGAAATTATGGGAAATAAAGCTTAACTAAAATATTAAAAGAAGAATAGGATTTAATTAAGTAAATATAATCTATCACCAGCCCTCCCTGCCCCACAAAGACATAAAAATTTATTCAAAATATGTTTAATCCTGCATCTTTTTTTTTGGTCCTATAACCACAATATTTAAAATGTTTATGTCCTTTGATTCAGCTTTCAATATTTAGATATCAATCCCCAATAAATAAAATGATATGTAGAAATAGATACACAAAGATATTATTGTTAGTTGCAAAATTTTTAAAACATTCCAACAATTGGAGAGTTGTTATGTAAATTAATGTACATTTAAATTATGGCCTACCAGGCAGTCATGAAAATGGTGCTTTCAAAGAAACTATATGATGTGGGTGGAAAGCTTTCCTTCTAAATTTTGAATGAAAAAAATTGACTACATCATCATATTCAGGATAAATTTACAAAAAAGAAAACTTGCGAAGAAACACTTCAAGATGTTAGCAGTAACTGTTTTCTTATACTTTCTTTTTTCTGCATCATGCTTCTATAGTAAAGTACATTACCATTTTTAAAGTAATATTTATTATTTTGTTTTAATATAGCCTTATTCTCCTTGATAGAGTATTATTTATTAGTTTCTAATAAATATCAAAAATAAATTCTGCTCCATTGATTTGTAAATTAAATTTTCTTTTATCCATCTAGGCACTATATAGCACTTCAATTTTTTGAATTATTCTCCATAGTTTAGCAAGCCAAATTAACTTAGTTTCTCCAAATATTTTTAATGTGTTCTTGATAGCAAAAAAGTCTTTCATAATAATATTATTATGTGAATTCAATTAAAATTTATATCTCCCAAGAAGAATTGTGTATCCTCACCTTCTTCCCTTCTCCTGAACTCTTTAAATCTTTATCTTGGGTACTTCATCCTTACCATCTCCTCCAGCAGACTATAAACTATTTGAGATGAGGAATTCATGTTTACCCTACTTACAAGTTGCCAGTAGACAGTTAACTAAATGAAGAGAATCTTTATGAAAAAAAAAAAAATTCTAATGAGATTGTTGCAATTTGATGCCTTAGGTCCAGAGCTTTGAAGAAGAGACTGGTAACTCTCTTGACCTGACTTCAGGAACTGTAGGTAAGAAGTCATCAAGGTCAATGACTGCATTCATGACCTTTCAGAAAGAGAAYGTAAACAACTGGCTTAACTTTCTTAAATATGTGGAGAGCTTGAATTATCTCCAGAAGATACCCTACATTATGCATCATTTTAGCTGTTAACAATCTAGCCTTAGTGCAAATGTGTACATGTGAATTTTAAAATACTTACTAGGAAAAAAGGTTTGATATCCCTAGGGCTAATGGAGTGTGTGGATGTCTAACACCAACTCAGTTATGATCTGCCTACCTTAACTGAATGGATTTCAGATAGGACTAACTAGGTGAATACCTTCCTATTCAGACTACCAACTGCTTGATATTGCACAAGTCATATCTTTTTATTGATCCTCTTCCTAACTATGATGAAAGATAAGTACAGATAATTTTAAGTTCTCTACCAGCACTTACATTCTAAACTTTGTATGACCTTGATGTTCAGCTCTCAGTGGAAACAAGTTGTCTAGATCTGACTTCCAGATGTCCTCTTAGAAGGGTGCTCTCTCATTCCTGTCACAGAAGAGGAAGTCTTTCTTCACTCCCGGACCTAATGCTCTCATGCAGTTATCATAGTGATTCAGCATTTCCATGATCCTCTAATGGAGCTAGACGGAGGCATTGATTAGTCAAGCAAAATAGAGCAGATGAAGCTAGTGCATTTCCTGGAAAAAAAATATGCAAATTTTTAATTTAATTTAGTGTGGTGTCAAACACATCTTTTCCATTACGAAGTGTATGTATAGGCCTCATTTTGCTAAATGCTGTTTAGAAATTATGCATTAGTAATTATAGGGTCCTGCTGATTACATAAATTGTTATCCTGCTCTTTGAAGTAATTACCACATAACCTGCATTGAGGTTTATAAGACAAAAATAAGCATCTGTTTTCTATCTAATTGAATGCTTCTCAATGAAGCTGGAGGTCCCCCTGCCAATAGAAACTGCCTTCCTTGACATTAGTTTAAGAGGTCTACTGATATCATGTAAGCCATTCCAATTATGCAAAAAAAAAAAAATGATTTAGGAAGTTAGGCCAAGAATTACTAATCTACATTTAACCTCAAACTGAGAGAGTAAAGTGAGATAAGGTTAAGGCTAGCCTAATGGAGAAAATCTGGACCACAAATGAGATTTATTACTTTCAAAAAGAGTGTTGTTAACTTACAAAATGAAAAAAAAATGGACTGACATCTAATAAGAAAAATTGGTTGAATTAATGAGGTAATGATCTTAGATATGTGATTACTTAGATCCACAATRTGTACACATCATATCTGCATTTTAACTAAAATTTAATAGACCACTGTTTAATAGACCACTTAATTTGAAATATAAAGGCACGTGGAATATTTTGATGAACCGAATATGGCAGAAGTGATGTAGCCCTTAGCCCACTCACCTGCTTCCTGGCTCTTGGGAAGTCATTCTTGAAACAGTCCTGCTGGAAACCCAGAGCCCATGTTGTGAGAAGCCCAAGTTACCTGGGGTGACATGTGCAGGCACTTTGGTGGAMAGCCCTGAGTGCRCTCCCCCGTGGATAAGCCTTCAATGATGTCCAGCTTTGTTAACSTTTCAAATGATTCTAATCCAGATTCCAAATCCAAGTGAAGCCCCACAACTGAGCTATCTAGCTCACAAAACCCTGAGAGATAAGAGTACCTTGTTTTAAGCCATACGTTCCACACACTATACACAAATACACAGGCATGTGATAATATCTTCAAATATCTTTAAAATTTAATTGCAAATCACTTTAAGTCGGTATGGTCTCTACACATGCAAAGTACCTTAGCAGGAAAGATGTACTTCAGCAATTTCTAAATGAATTTAAGCAAGGTGACTTCCTATAGAAAATGGAGACTCAAAGCCCCAGATGTACTGTCCTMCCTTCACCTCTGAAAATTCATCACTGAAATGACAAGGTAACACAAGGAGAAGAGGGACATGATTAAAAGTGCTATTTAAAGGGTAAAGGTACATCATCTACATTCCAGAAGCTCTGAGTACTATAAGGGTGATATAATGCTGTGGGATATAATGGTGAATGAGGATGCAGACAATTCTTTTTAAAAATATTTTTAGTTGTAGATGGGACATAATAATTTTATTGATTGATTGATTGATTGATGTGGTGCTGAGGATCAAACCCAGTGCCTCACACGTGCTAGGCAATCGCTGTACTATTGAGCCAAAACCCCAACCCAATTGCAGACAACTGTAAAGGAAGAATCATCTAGGGATTAAAGGGAGGTGTTTACTAGAGGTCAAAATTTCCAAATGAATCCTACTTATCAAATTGAACATGGCATACTTTCATTCCTTATGAAATGGATAAACACAAGAAAARTTACCACAAAAAGATTGAGTATTTTAAGAATCAGATTCAGAAGAAATGCCCCTATTACTCAAAGCATGAGTGCAAGGAAACATTAGAAATTCTTGGAAATGAATATATGTATGAGGAGATTGTATCTGCAAAGAAAACAATCTCCAGTAAGTAAAGTTAAGATTCCTTTCAGACATGATTGACATTATCTGATTCTATTTCTGATAATAGATAAGTAAGTCCTAATGGGCCAATCCTCCCACAGATTACTACAAACTCTGGACAAAATATTTTTTAAATGCCTATCTAAGGACACTAAAGAGTACACAAGAGCAGGCAAATAGGGTGTTGGGGTGGGATAGGGAGTCAATACTTGAACACTTGGGTCAGTTTCCTTTATTAAAASAGTTTTAACCTGGGAAGTGTCTGCTCAGTTCCTTGACCCATTTATTGATTAGATGATTTGTCAAAATGGCAGCTATTAAAAATACRAACAATAATAAGTGTTGGTGARGATGTGGGAAAAAAGGCACACTCATACATTGCTGGTGGGACAGCAAATTGGTGTAGCCAATATGGAAAACAGTATGGAAATTCCTTGGAAAACTTTGATGGAACCACCATTTGACCCAACTATCCCACTCCTTGATCTATACCCAAAGGACTTAAAAACAGCATAGTATAGTGATGCAGCTACATCAATGTTTATAGCAGCACAATTCGTAATAGCTAAATTGTGGAACTAATCTAGATGCCCTACAGYAGATGAATGGATAGGGAAACTTTGATTCCAGGCAAGTTTCCTGCCTCCTAAAACAATGTACAATTCCCAATATCCAGGCACAGTAAGAATTTACTTCACACACACACACACACACACACACACACACACACACTGGAATATTATTCAACATTTAAAGAGAATAAAATCATGGCATTTGCAGGTAAATGGGTGGAGTTGGAGAATATAATGCTAAGTGTTAGCCAATTCCAAAAAAAACAAATGCTGAATGTTTTCTCTGATATACAATGGGGATCGGGGGGCATGGGAGAAATAGATGAACTTTAAATAGGRTAAAGGGAAATGACAAGGTAACATAAAGAGAAGAGGGAAATGATTAAAAATGCTATTTAAAGGGTAAAGGTGCATCATTTAAAGGGAGGGAAAGGGAGGGGGAATGGGWGTAGGAAACTGGGGAATGAGATGGACATCATTACCCCAATTACATGTATGAAGACACGAATGGTGTGACTCTACTTTTGTCCCAAACAAAGACATGAAAAATTATGCTCTATATGTGTAATTTGAATTGAATTGCATTCTGCTCTCATATATAACAAATTTGAATAAATAAAAATTTTTATGAAGACTTTTAACCTGAAGGCAGGAACCATTCTAACCCTCCAACAGACAGTAGTAGTCTTACTACCCAGAAAAATCAGAAGACAGAACCTGGGACAATGGCAATAGCTGGAAAGTGAGTGTGTGTGTGTGAGTATGTGTGTGTCAAGGGGAAATCCCAGAAAAGAGAGAGATTGGAAAATCCCTRAATTCTAATCTTGAAATCTGTCCATATCTCTGGCCAATATGTGAACTCAAATGCATAGAAAAGACTTCAAGAATTTCATCTAAGATTAAAGGAAAATTTCCATTTTAAATTTGATTCCAGGCAAGTTTCCTGCCTCCTAAAACAATGTACAATTCCCAATATCCAGGCACAGTAAGAATGTACTGGACATATGAAAAAATAAAAGAATGTAACCCATAGTGGGGGGTAATTAGTAGAAACAAGCCATGAGAAAATCCATATGCTGGAGTGAGCAAATAAGTGCTTTAGGTGGGGTATTAGAGTCACACTGAAGAATGTAAAGGGAAATGTCCTATAATAAATGGGAAGATAGCAAATCTCAAAAGAAAAATAGAAATAATACAGATACAGGATGAAATGGAAATTCTGTAAGTGAAAAYTACASTTTTGTCATTCAAAACCCATTGAATAAATTTAACAGCAGGTTAAATGATAAAATGAAGACTTGGTGAACTTGGAGATATAACAATCATCCAACAATCAGGAGAACAAGGGAAAAAAGAGATTAAAAAGTACATAAAAKTTTTTCTGAATTTCAAGTTCCTGTGAGACAAGAAATATAAAAAGGTGAAGCATTTGTAGTTACAGACAGAGAAGAGGAAAGGACTAAAGAGAAAAATACTGGAAGAAATAAATGTGAAAATTTTTCCTAATTCACTCACAGAGACATTTATAGATTCAAAGTTCAGTAAACTCAAAGTGGAATAAATAACAGAAAATTATACCTAAACAGTGTTATGATCAAAGTCATAAAAATCAAAGATAAGAAAACATGTTCAAAGCAGGCACAGAAATGTGATAAGGGAATTAAGATTTGAATGCYGAGACATCTCATTAGAGAAAATGGAAACTAAAGATAAAAGAATAAAGATAAAATAATCAGGAATAAAGATAAAATAAAGACATTTTCAGATAAAACAAACTCATTAAGAGCATACCTGCTCTGCAAGATGGACACTGTATTGWGTTGTTTTATGCCATATGCTGATGTAATACATGATAATTTATACCAYAGAGGATGGAGGAATTGGTAAATGGAGCAAGAATACAATAAGCCTTCTACAT